AGGAACAATGACGGGGCTGACTATGATCTATTGAGTTTTTGAATTATAAAAGTGTTATTTATAAAATAGGCAGCGTTTCATTCGGACATTCCAGTCGCATTGAACTTTACAACTTTTAATATCTTAAAAATAAATTTAGTTTTATGCTCTTATCATCATGCATATTTATGTAAATAATAGACAAGTTTATAATGAGTAGCCTAGTTTATACTGTATGTTTCGTCCGTGAATAACATTGGTGTACGTTAAAAGAAACAAATGATGTTAGAGTTATTTAAAAGTGGGCTATGAAAAGGTGATCCTTTTAGACAATTAATATCAATTTAGAGCTTTTTACTGTTCTGCCTTTTCAAAAATACAATTCACAATATTACAAATGATAATAAGATAAGTAAGGGAAACAAAATTTTAGGCAGATCATTTAACTGGTTTTGCTTCTTAATTCAAGTCTCTGGAACTATTACAATGAAAATCTGGCTTTTTGCTCAGTGATTTCAAAGTTTGATAAGTCACTAATAATTTTAATGAGTTCAATGTGGAACTGTAGGTATTTATCAATGCAGATGTTGCTTGCTATTAATTCACTTGATCAAATGTCTGTTAATTAAGGCAAAACTGACAACTCATAGAAATTTTGTGAGATATAGTGAGAACCCTCAAAGTTTTTTAGTTCAATAATCCAATACACACACACAAATACAATTTGCATCAGAACACTGAAAGTAGAAATGTAATTTAGACTCTACTTAATATAACTGGTCTGTTGATTTAAAAAATGGCTTTCATATGTTCAATATTAACTTTAAACCCACTTCAGAAAACGAAGGCCTGGGTTTTAGGACCGAATAAAGCTTTGCAGCTTTATTTATATAGATCAATATATATATATATATATATATATATATATATATATATATATATATATATATATATATATATATATATATATATATATATATATATATATATATATATATATATATATATATTTATATAACTATACATATAACTATACATCATTACTTAATACAATGAAACCTAATTTAATCATTTAACAACAATGTTACTGTTGTATGGATATATGTTGTTACATGATATTAAGTTCTATGTATGATTGTTTGGTCTAGACCAAACATATTGGTTTATTATCTATAAACAAATATAGATAAGACAAGTATTATACTACGACACATGCTTAAAGATGTTAGGGTGGGGCGTGTATATTTTCAATTAGGCAAATATGTGTTTATGTCTTTTCTTACCAGCCAATTACATATTACAACAAAAACTAAGTTAAAACTGTAGTGTACAAGCGAATAAAATTATAGTAGCAGTTTAAAGTACATTTTACACTTAATAGGCAGAAGAAGTTAGCTACGTTGCAAAACTGCATGTGGAGTACAGTACCATATTATGTTGCACATTTCAATTTCTATAAAATGTGCACATTGTCCTTTTTCCACTTCTTTGTTTTTCTTTAGTTCCGCGTGAAAGCGCCCAGACAATAAAAAATTCCACTATATTCTTGTATGTTTGCATGGTGAAAGCAATAAGTAAATAGTGGTACACCACATAGGTATCTAAAGCTGCAAAGCTTTCGGTCCTAAAACCCAGGCCTTCGTCAGTGGAATTGGCCTTTCTCATGATGACGTTTTTGGGGTACTTTCAGTTTCTGAAATGGGTTTAAAATTAATATTTAACATGCATGGAAGGCATTTACTTTAAATCAACAGACCCCATTTGAATAATAAATTTAGCCTACAATTTAGCCTACAACAGTCGCCGTTACGAGGTCTCACGTTCACGGTTTTGAAAAATGTGCCCCCAAAATGGCGACCTATTCGTCATCGTAAGAAAGGCTAATTACATTGATCATTGCACATTTGCACTTTAACTCAAATTTTAACATCATTTTTTAGTCGCTCGTTTATGAAGTTGAACATTTCTTTCACAAACATTTTGTTGATCAATAGAAGCCTTATTTTGTAAATTCTTGAAACAAACAGCGGTGCAGAACCATATGAACAAAAACAGCGATTAAAATTTAACCTAGCTTTGAACAACCGGCCCCTGGATAACAGACCGAAAGTTTCGAAGTATTAAATACTTACGTGGTGTACCTACAAGCTAATTTACGTACTGCATAGTAACATGTATTGAATCATTGTAAACTTGTATTTTGCAGTGTACAACTGGAGTATGGTAATGTGACTCTAACTATTGGTGCCAAGATCATATCGTGTACAGATGTACCTTGTACCACCTCGTCTTCCATATGGACGACATATTTGCTTCGGAATATAGCAGCTGAACTCAGATTGCTTGAATATCTTCATATCATCGGCTGATGGAAGACTAACCTCGTAACACTGGAAATGGCTGTTGAATATGTTGGTCTCCATTGGCTCGACAACAAACTGAATGCCCATCAAGTTCTTCTCAACTATACAAATCTTGTGAATTCTCCAAAATAATGGGCAGTCATGCTCATCATATCCAATATGTACTGCTGCATTACATTTGTACTTCGTACCTCCAATAACAACCCACTTCGCTCTTGGATTAGAAAAGAGGAAAATGATAAAAATCTGTCATCCATGCATATACTTAAGGCTAGATTCCACTCAGGATAATGATCCGTGGATGGGAACGGACAGAAAAGTTTTTCTTTGTGTTAAAGTCATTAGTTCCAACCCAGAGCTCACAACTGAGACAAAGAAAAACTTTCCTGCATGTCCGTTCCAATCCACGGATCATTATCCTGAGTGGAATCTAGCCTTTATACAGTATATGTATGTAAGGCTAGGGATTGCTTACTGAGGTTGCAATAGACCTTTTCCCATTTAGCTTTCAAGCGCGCTATGCGTGACGGTAGTTAATTATCAATTAACTTTGAGTTGCGTTATCGCTCTGCTTCTTATTGCTTCTTTGTTAAACAAAATCGCTCCTGAATATGGCCAATTCACGACTCAAATAATCAACTACCGCGCAAAGGCATTTCGCGCTTGAACGCTAAAAGGGGGGAAAGGTCTATTGAATTAGTTGTTGAATAGTTGTTCTTTTGTATGTTCGGCATGTAAAATCGTAAATTTTTAACTTACTCAAAAACAGAGGTTTGTGGAATCACATCACAAAACTCATATGACTCACAAAGCAAATCATAGTAGCCTAAATTTCCAGCATACGTTTCTGTGCCTAAAAATATTTAAATAAGGAATACTGTAAATGAGTGTATACATCATAAGTGCGCATTATCCAAATAGTGTGGGTTCGCCGGACCTTCATTGGGCCTCTCATGACGAACGGCTTTGTCACGAAATGTCGAGGGATTTTTAAACTAATGACATAAACCGTTCTTATGGGCTTCATAATAAACCATAAAACTGTCACGTTATACATAATTGATAGCCGTATGTAATTAGTGTAATAAATCATGAACGTGTACCTGGACCAATATCAATTCCTTTTTGAAGAAAAGTAGAGTGGCCCCCTTCCGACATGTTAATGCGGTAACATAGCCCTTCCTGGTGCCGTTTTGTCAGAGAATACGGCAGATTGATGAAGTTACCACATGAAATGGCCAAGCGTTTGAAGTACGAGTGTTTTGCCTCATACCTCATGCACCAAATCCTGATGAGCGGTCCCAATCTGTAATCAGTAATCGGGTAATTAGTGAAGGGGTATAATAATACGTTGAAACCTCATAAAGCAAATAAGCTTACTTTAACATAATCCTCGGCATATGGATCATGTAGTGCATCTTGGGTATGATAGACGCATGTGGATATAGTAGCCGGAAATTTTCATGATGATTTTGGATCAGGACTTGGAGATAAGGCATTTGCTCTTTGCTTATCAGCGGGGAGAATATAATGCGCACTATTTCCAGCAATACACAATAGGCATTCCAATGGTCGTCATCTTCTGTCATAAACTCTCCAATTAAAAGAGGAAGGAATAAGCCCAGGCACCACATCTCATTAGCTGTGACATAATAATAAACCAAAATTAGGATGACATGCATGCATGCAGTTAAATAATTTCTAAAAAAAATTCATATTCTTGATATATTCGGTTAACAATTCGATCAACAATTACGTCTTACCATGTTGCTTAAGGCTATTGTCATTGGACAAGAGTTTCTGCCTCAAGATTGGTGCCGGTTTGTTTGAGTCATTGTGGTACCTGGAATATCGATGTATGTTTTTTAAGGATAGTTAATACTTGTGGCATGGTAAGGGACCGTTCATTATTTTTACCTCAGGGGGGGCAAATGAAATTACAAGGGGAAAATCTTTTTTACTGAACTCCATTAAATCCAATATTTTAACACTGTTTTTTATGGCTCTATATGGCTCTATAGCTTCATTGTATTTTCCCATAAGAGACATAGATATCTATTATTAACCATTAGTTACGAATCAATTTTGAGTAGTTATCCAAAGATTATTTCATACTTAAAAAACTAATTTGTGCACAGATTTGGGTTTGGTGCATCAGAAAGATCGATGTACAAAATAGCGACAACCCTGTTACCCTGATTCATCTGACAGCAATTTTAATTTTACACACCCTTTTAGGGGCAAAAAGTTTTAGTTGCCAACCCTATTTCTCTTCGGTGCCCCCCCCCCTAAGGTATCAAGAACGGGATCAGTGCATGTTGGTGGCATTAATTCAAAGAACTAAACTTGCTTTAATCATGATATTCTAAAAAGGTATAATGCTTTGAGACAGATCGCTGGACATGGGAAATCGACCGAATCGCATCAATTACATGCATTTGGTATTACTATGCGACCTATGCATGTAAATATATTCTTTCGCAATATAGCGTATTTACATCAAAATGAAGCCGAAGAATCCCTGCGCCACACCTCTAATAAGTTGAGACGTTACTATCAAGAAGGTATAAGTAATAACTGTGTATGCAATTTATAAAATAGCATTCTTAGAAATAGGATCATCCCTGATCTGTAATCCACATGAAATGCATGCTTTCAGGCTAAAGAATATTGGACTATTGGTTTTGCTATTGGTTTTCCAATATACTCGTTAAGCACGTGATCGCGCCTTAGCGTGTTGTCATCAATTATTGCAAGGAACCATATTCTCAAATTTTATATTGAAATTGCTATATTTGACTCCAGAGACGGCACAAAAGCAAATGGTATGACTTACAGTATTCGAATAACGTTAGTTAAATAGAGTTTAGGCTTCAGTGAGTGCATTTTTGACCGTTTTTTGCGAACCAGTTGAAATATAAATCAGTGAATGTAACAAAGCAGTGAAAGCACGTGTGACATTTTTGGCAATTGTTACTTCAAACTATTTTGAGGATCACCTGTATGTAACTCAATAAGTACTAGAAATCTTTACTTTTTAAACCTTCCGTCTTTAACTTTAATATTATTTTGAAATTCGAAGCGTAAATTTTGTGCTAACTTTTATGATGAAATTTATCACTGATATATTTCAATTATCTTATTATCAAAATGCACAATAAAGACTGATTTCTAACTAAGTATTCTAAGGTATTCTAGCTGTTAAACATACTCAAAAGTACTATTAAATACATACCCATAATCAAATGAAGCGATCCTCTTATTCAGCTCATCTAAGGAGAATGTTTTTTCTTCCAGAATGAAATGCTTTAACATTTCCTTGGTGTGGTATTGGAGTGTGCCTTCCAGGACATCATGCATGGCATCAGCTGGTAGTCCTCCAATGACATGATAGTACCTTGATTTACCTAGTACCGATCTTCGATTTAACCCATACATTACACTGAAGTGTTCGGATTGCATCAGATGTCTGCAATGGATTTCATATCCATCTTTTGTTCGTAGTTCAAACTCGCTTTCAAGGAACTACATAAAAAGGTCAAATAATGTAACGTATTAACATGGTGATACAATATTACCATAATTATGCATAATATCTATACCTAGCTGTTTCTATATCTGTTAATGTCAGAGCGATTTTACCTTGCAACTTTGTTGAATTAATATGCAAAAAATGCAATTTGTATACAAATTATCAGGTGCTGTTGTATCACCATAAATATTGTATCACATATTGTATCACTATTGTATCACTATAAAGTATAAATTAATGTTATACTTCAACAAATTAACTGTGTCTATGAAAAGTGCTACATTTTTTTTGCCCATAATGAGCAATTCACTGTATTGAATTTTAGGATTTCCACACCTTTGTTTGTATTTGTTCGTCAATCCCCATGCACTCCCTGCATTTACGATAAGCTTGGGAGCCCTCTTTGAATCCACCTAGTAGCTGGGAACCCAAATTATCCCCCGATATATATCCAATGCTTCCTCGAAATGATCTTTGTTGGCCATTTATTGTAAATACAACACCTTCATCCTACAGGATTGATGAAATTCAAATCTTTAATCCAAAACAGTAACCAAAACAAGAAATTAAGAAATTAATAAATTTTAATTACTGAATTATAATTAAATTTTAAGTGATGATTCAGTACATTCACTTTTCTTTCTTTAGATGATCTGGTCCATACCTGTTCAAGTTGAATAATATCTTCCATAATACGATCAAGAATGCATTCAATTCCATATTTCTTGATATGTTTGCTGTTGACAATTGCAAGAAGCTGAATGGCATTTAAACTTGACCTCTTATCTGGTGATATGTTCCCCAAAGTGTAGTATATGTTGCCTATAATCAAGGTAATTAACAAACATTTTTATTTAATATCAGTATTTTTGTTTCTGGTACAGTGGTCTTTTATTTTTAATCTAAAGAAAATTCTATAATACTGAATGCACATCAAAATAATTCCCCTGCTCACCTATTTTGTGGGTATTTGCTCGTGATCCTAGAGGATTACAGACTTCCAGTTCATCAAAGAACAATAGCAGTTGTAATGCATACATATCTGTACTGAAGAGTGGATGGGATTTAAATTCTTCTCCATCACAAAAATCACCAAGCAAACCATCCTGACGAGCATGAGGGTTATCAATCTATTAATGTAATAAAACTATGATTATATAGTATTATGGTATCAGATAAGATCTCCTCAAATATTTTTACCTCCTCAACAACAGCTTCATTATTCAAAAGTTGTTGAATACTTTTGATGAGAGGCACATAGTATGCTTTGTCTTCTTTTTCAATATCTACCAATCTGCTTCCCTTCCTGATCTTTTTATGGAATTTACCCATGACAACTTTTTCTGGCTCCTTGTAGGAAAGAAACTTAAAGCATCTTAAATTTAACTATAATGATTGTTTTTTAATTTATTGGTAAATTTACATGCTATTCTTTTCAGGTCTTGTGAACCATTGTAATTTGGGGACATAATGGACTATATAGACATATCCTGTTCTACTTCAGGTACTGTAACTTGTTATGTAATTCATGTCATGTGGTACTGCAAGTGCAATACTGTATGTTATTTACCTGGTTACCTTGCATTTAATACATGTATTCATTTGAAAGCATTAGGAAGAAGTGCCCTTTAGGTTCGGTAGTTTCTTTGAAATGGATTTAAATGGTTTTAAATGCAGCAGAGCTTTAGGTCCGTTAACCTGTGCCTTCATCAGTGCAATATTATTTGGGTTACCAGGACGAAATCTTTGCAGTATTTTATATTACTTATGGGGTTTACCTATACAAGTTAATTGAATTATTAAGTCCCATACATGCAAACTTACAGAATACATTATAATAGTACATTGTATAATTCTACAAACTGTTTGTTTCAATTAGTACAAACACTTTGATCAATTTAAACGTGCTTACCACCATTCCAAATTATCTTTGCAGTATGATAAACTGAGACGCCTCATTATTGCATCCTTCAATGGTTTTCGTATGGTGTTGTCTTCGTCAAGCAATTCTTTTAACCCGGAATGTTATCCATTGTAAACCGGCATTATCAAGACATTGCCTCAAACCAGACTGAAGAATTTCTACACTGCTGTCAACGATCTGTGTAGTCGTACGCGTAATTGAATCTACGACAGTTTGGGGACTTTGCCTTCGTCTTTTTATCCTTAATAACGACAATACGTTTGATTTGCGGACCTCTTCGACTTCTCGTTCAAATCAAACTCATGGCGTCGTCATTATCGCGTTCATGGTCTCCGTTATCTTCATTCTCAAATTGTTGCCTGGCTGGTAAAGGGCCAACTTGTGGAACCGCTTCTGTATTCAGGACGGCGGAATGTTTGCGAAGGATATGGTTCTGAACGAGAAGAAGTTTTTGTATGTCCTTGGACACCCATCTATCCCGCATAGAACATGGAAACCTCTCTCATTTGTGGACACGGCCCAGATGGGACATCAATAGTCGAAGACTACCTGACGTAAAGTGAACGCACAAGTTACAACGATACATGTTGTGCGTTTGTTTAAGAAGTGTGTGGAGAGACTTGGAGTTGGATCTGCGTTACTGCGTATGTACCACTGAGCTTATTAAGAAAACGCATGAACTTGAACTTGCATATTTATTGTGAACTTGACATGATCGACGGACCTGTGGTGGGTGGGATGATTATGTAGAACATTTCTCTCTCATTAATTTGAAGTAAACTTGCAGAATTACAGGATCTGTTTGTGCTTAATTATACGTTCAGCCTTAAGCACAATATAATTTCAAAATTATCGTTCAGAGCAATATTATCTAAAAATCCAGAGAAGATTGCCTTCTTGGGGGGGGGCTGTTGGGTAGAAATCTCTGACGTCAAAGTGGTTTAACAGGTTTTTTGAAGTTGTTTGTGCATCATTTTCTCTCTGATCCTTCTGCAGTTCTGCAAGGTCTTCACACGTTTTAAAAGTTTTCAAAAAGTTATACTTTTGGGGGAAATGGAAACAAAATTTGCTTCATGCTCTTATTTCAAATGGTGTCAGAGAGAAAAAAACATCGACATCCTGTGCGATGAAGAGGTAAGCCTTCGTGCTATATGCAATTTTTACAGATTTTTTTTCACTGGTTTCCTTCCACTAAAGAATATAAAAAACGTGTTTGGGGCGAAAAACGAACGTTTTCACTAAGCGACACGCAATCTCTATAATAAAAATTAATTAGTGCTTGCCGTATAGGTAATATTTTCTGAATAAAAGGAGAACTGAGTCATCGCATCTTGGTCATCGCACATTTTTCTCGACTCTTCCTCAGACAGTTACGGCGTTTTCATAGTCTGTCTTTAATTCTATTTTATTTTCGGCGGTAATGCATACACTTTTCCGTTAGTATATCAAAAAAATACATTGTAGCGCGATAGGTAGTACTATTATAAACCAAGCACTTGGCAAGTCCTGGGAAGTCGTCGCCATCCGTGTTTTTTTATCGGATAAGCGAAGAAAATGCAAAACCAATATTTTTAATGCAATATTTTTTTTATTTTTTTAACGATATCAACTAAACTACCAGTTTCGATAGTTTGAGATCCGATACCAGTTTCGAAACCAAATTATTATCAAAAGAAGACATTTTGAAACTCAAGCTGCAATGAAGAAACACATCTGCATGAGTCATGTAAAAATTTCATATAACGAAATAGTTCCTTTTTAATTTCCTTTGCTCACGATTTCTTGAATTTGATTCAATTTTTCGAAAACAAAACCATGATTGCAGAAAAAAGAAAATATTTCAATCAACGTTTGCCTAGAAAAAAGCGGTTAACTAGCGAGCCATACCGATGTGGCGATGTGCGATATGCAGGCGACAAAAGCCGACAACCTCGTACCCAGGGCGTTCGTGGGTTTTTCGTGCTCGCTAGGATTGCTGGCATCGAATTGGCTAGGATTGCTGGCATTGATTTTTTTTACTTTTTTAGGTATTGCATGAGTACGTGTTATTAGTTTTATAATTTCGTGCAAAAGTTAAGTAAAAGATGAATGTATTTCCATGTTGATGAATATATTAGTTCAGTCAGTATAAAGTAGTCTGCGCGCGTAATAATTAAATGTAGTCGAAGACAGAGTCATAAAAAAGATTGACACAACCTTAATTCAAAAAACAACAGATAATAATGATGAGGCTAGACCAGTGTGTTGGAATATTCATATAACTATTTTAGAGATCCCTTTCGATACGATTACATGACGCTTATGCAGGCGACTGCGATGATTGTGTCGTTGTGCGCAAAAACGTAGAAATGATAATTGATATGAGAAAATTGCGTGTTGAAATGCCGTGTCTTACACTATACACGTGGATATATCAACTCATTTCAGGTGTTTTCATTGGTTTTGACACGACCAAAATGCGACGTATAAACTATGTCTACGACTTGCTGAACCAATAACTGTAGAATTCCAAGCGTAGAACATTTCTTTATCCAAAGATTCTAATACTTAAAAAAGACCAACCACGTACCCAGGCCCAGGGTCTTTTCTCTGTGCTCACTCTTGGGGGGAACAAAAACACCCGCAACGTGAGAACAGAGAAAAGACCCTGGGTACGAGGTTGATAAAAGGCAACGCTTTGAAGTACGACGTTGAGAATGAAACTTAAAATTTCGTGAGGGTGGGAAACTGGAAGTGTTGTAAAAATCCACGGTAAATATTACAAGATTTTCTAAAAAATCCGAATATTCCCTAGTCCATAGTCCCCAGTCCTTTTGTAATGATTATTTTGGCCTCTGCCCTATGGGATTATCTGAAAGCTTGTGTTTAAGAAGCAACATGAGACAAGAAATTTCAAACAAGTTTTTCAGCGGAGAGAACTCCAAAATAAGTACGATTGGGCTAAAACTATATGACTGCATGGTATATATATTTCTTTAATCGTGTTTACAGAAATATTGACTTTTAAGTTCCAAATTTCTATTTCTTAAAAATCCCAAAAAATTCCCAAGATCTCAGGATAAAGTCTTGAACTTGGCAACGCTGAAGAATATTTTTCCTGAATTAGTAAATTTTGATAGGTTGCTTTGGTAATTAGCCAACAGAAAATCTGGCCATACTAAGCTATTCGGTATCCGAATAAAATTGAGGATATTTTAACAAGTCTTCATTGATCTTTCTGGAGAACTTTTGGTAGCGATCACTTCAAATTGTTCATTGTTTTTCAATAATTTTTAACATGCATACATCAGTGAATGGCAATGCAGTCGTTCAAAGTTAGGTTATTGCTAATCCTGGGTTAAATTTCACCCCGCTATTTTAGTTTATATGCCTCTATATATACACAGCTATTTGCCAGTTCAAGACTTCGATAATACTTCCGTTGACCCACAAAATATTTATAAAGCAGAGAAAATAAAAAATTGACGACATTGAGGAAAGATACTTCATCAAGAAAGATTTCAGTTTACTGTAGCTGCTTGTCATAAAATTATAATCATTTAGTTTTAGACCTGCATGTTTACGTATAAACCCATGCATTTATCAATTATCGTATTGATATATAGTTGGACACGTTTGAATGTCTTCGCGAATCGAGTGACGAGTTGCTCAAAGGTTGTGGCCTCAAAGCAGGTGAAGTACTCAAAATTAAAAGAGCAATACGCGAATCGACGACGACTCTTAGTCCTCAGCCTGCTGCAAACACCGGGCGAGCTTCTCAAACGCCTCTAGATGACGAGTTTTCGGACATCGTTGATAACGTTGATACCTCGTTTTCGGATATCGTTGATAGCGGAAATACCTCTGACATCGTTGATACCTCGGACATCGTTGATACCTCGGGAGTTCACAGTATGGCATCAGTGGATGATGTTGTGAGCTCGGTGCCTGATCATCTCGAAAAAATCAAGACGGCAACAGATGGCATCGTACCGCGGCCAGCTTTCCAGAAGACTGGAGATACGATCCAATATAATGATAGATGGATTTCATCCTATCAGTTGCCTGCAAGGGTATGTATTATTCATTCGTCATAAGAATCTAATGAAGAGAGGGTTATTTGGGTGGTATACGTGTACTAACACTTATTCCAAAGGTCTGAGGGGTACACGAGATTTATACCTCGAAGCCTGGTGACAGAATTCGTATTCGCTTCGCGCTGAGAGGGATACAAATTCAGCCACCAGGCTGAGAGGGATAAATCTCATGTACCCCGAGAGACCTTTGGAACAAAGATTTTGTCTTTGAAGTTATATCTACACTCAGATTAAAAAAAAATGTCGTATCCTTTTTTTGTCGTAGCCATTTTAAAAAAATGTCGTATCCTTTTAGAGCTTGTATTAGCCAATGAGCGTCGTTTGGAATTCGTATACCTTTGGAGCGCACAAAGATACGAGATTTATCCATTCTGCTTCGTCCAAACAGATTTGTCTATTACTGTGCGTTGATAGACAAATGCATGTATTCATAAAAGCGATCGTTCCTATACTGTATATATTTGTTTGCATGAATAAATATTTCATGTGTATAATTTACCATTCGCGAAATCAGGATAAAAAACGTGTCTTCGCGCTGGTAAAAACAGCCTGACCAGACCCAGACGAGGTAAAATTTCAAAGCAGGTTGGTAGGCTGTATGAGAGGATTAGGAGATACACGCTCCTCAGCCAATATACCCACCAAAATATACATACGTATTATATAGTTACGTCTTTTTTTCGTAATTATATACACTAATGATGTCTATGTGTAATACTTACAAAAGAATCCAAATACTGTGTTGGTCAGCTTCGGCCTTGTGTATTGTAAAACACCTAAAATTTGAGTTTATCATGAGCCTGAAAGATAAAGCAATCACCTTTACCGGAAAGTGACTCGGAAATATCAACGTACGACCCAAGCCTTATGTACCTCAAGGTGCATATACATATATAGTCGTAAAGATTGAATAACTATATATTTATTTTGCATTTTAGTTTTCGCCTAGAGTCACAGCAGCCCTGGAAAGAAAAAACCTTCCTGGAAACGTGCGGGACGAGTTCAACAGAGATATATGCAGTAGCATTAAAGTTCACACCATGAACCCAAAAAAGCATGAGAGGGAGACCGTGGCATTTAAAATCATCTCAAAATATCCATTTTTAGCGGACAAGATTGGTTCTGGAATAGTATGTGATTATAACTTACCGGTTTCTTAACTTCTTCATGCAATGCTTTGATTTTGGTATAATTCTAAAGAAGCATAATCGATTAAACAAAAAACGTTGACAAGTTTGGCAAAAAAATTATACGCTTATATACTGCATGTATATTGAATGGAGATTATTATATATCATATTGTTTCCTTTATTGTTGGATCAGTGACTAAAGGTCACTTTTGAATGGTCGATTCCCAAGTTTTTAGGAATCCCCCAATTACGCTTCAATAAAGTGAATGGTCTTAAAGCATGATTATCGTCACATGTTTGCTCTGTTGATCTACCATGCAGGTAAAAACAGTTCTAAGAAGGACTGACTGTTGAAATTGGTGTTGTCTGACGTTTCTATTCCCTTTTAAAAGGGACCAAATCCTTCTCAGGACTGCACTAACTGGAAGATCAACAGAAAAAAATGCAAACCACAGGATTGTGAAAAATATTGCATTCAAGCTTAGACCTAGGAAAAACGTCGTTCTTATCATGCGGCGAACCTAATGCATATAAATAAGTTTTGTTCCAGCTCATTTGCATTAGGTTCGGCGCATGAGAAGAGCGGCGTTTCACCTATAGGGGTTCGGCCTTACCAATAATTACTTATATCATAACATAGTTGATGGATATATATGGTTTGGAGACTAAATAAAAGTACAATACAACTCATTAACTATGTTATTGTCCAGCTTTATGCAAAAAAGGTTCCTTTCTCGTCACGTGTCTATTGTATTTTAGCTAAACTAACCAAAATTGATGCCATTCGTCTTTCCGAGCTCCTCAACCTTGACTTGAAAAATATGTTAATTAAAGATTGCTATTGGTTTATCTCTGCAAAATACAATAGACATGTGATGAGAAAGAAACAATCTTTTGCATAAGTCTACCTCAACATAATGAGTTGTATTGTAGTTTTAGGTGGTGTCCAAACCATGTTTATTCTATCAACTGCGAACATACACTGTGTCATATCTATTCACATTGTTTCTAGTCATCTTGGGATATGTCGATAAAGAACGGGTTTAAGAACCTAAGAAAAACCAAAAGAGGCTATCAAAGTCAGAGCGGTGTTTGTATGATCGGTGTTCAAACGAAGAAGAACAAGGTGGCCGATGATGCTCCGCTTGCGTTGGTGGAAGGTGAGACCACGCAAACGTGCCAGGACCACCTCGCTGCCATAAAACGCGAAATGGCGAAAAACAAAAACAGAAACGTCGCTTTAATAAAAGAACTAATGGAGCTAACATATCCATACCGACGGAACAAAGTCGTGTCCAGTCCCACTACGTTGAAAGATCTTCTGGCAGAGTATCCAGCATTGAGGCTGGTTTCTGAGGTATATAGTAATTCCTGTTATCTCCATACACAATAAATCCAACAACAATCCAACTTTATTTTATTCTATTGCGGGATCTGAAGCCTGTGTGAAAAAACTTTTTTCAATGTTACAGTAATTCACAGGTATTATTCTATATATACATTTGTAGCTAAAGGCAGAGTTTGAGAGGGCAACAAGCTCCATTGGAAAATGTCGGAAAATGAGCACATTTTCAGGAACAATGTGAAACCAAAAATCATTAGTCTGGCTCAAAGCAAGGTGAAGGCGTTTCCAGGAATCGCCAGCATCCTAAAATTAATGGAAGAAGAAACTACAGATTCTCCCACAAAAAAGACAGGTAATAAATTAAAGAAAACAACATATAATAATAGGCAAAAATGTTCTCCGTGTTTATTATACTTACCCATGACGGGCATATTCAAACCTATAAGAATGTACAAATTTGTCCGTTTCACTCACCAGTTCACTCATTATGAGTGCCTAGGCCTTGGGACCCTAGGTGGCAGTTTAAAAGGAGAAAGGAACACACTGCCACCTAGGGTCCCAAGGCACTCATAATGAGTGAGCTAGAATATACCCGTCAAGGGTAAGTATAGTAAACATGGAGAACATTTTTGCCTATATATATAATATATGTGTATTGATCCGATCGACTAGTTAGTAAAATCATTAATAATGTATTTGGGACTTAGTTAGCATTATTCACTTTTCCAGGACATAATGCTCTCAAGAGGAACATTATTTATTGGACATATCATTGTAGCTTCAAACATTCAAATGCTCACATATTGCAACTCTATAATATTTTGAAATGTTGTTTTACATTCATTGCAGAAATTGAAGAGGATGGAGCCGTAATGCTGGTGCAACAACTCCTCAGGGAAAAAACAAACAGATATGATCCTGTGGTCAAAATCTGTTCAGTAAGTATCATTGCATAGTTATAATCCTTGAAAATCTTAAGTGTTTAATTAAACCACTAATGCTCAAAAACTTTTAGTCTTCCATGTAAAAAATACAAACCTATTTATTGTGTATTTATTTAGTAAACTGGTAATGTTTTTCATTCAGGATGATGAATCAATTGATAAGGTGATTGAAAGTGTTGTGGCACCCAAGCTGATTGGATCTGGGCAGTATGGCTCAATCACCCCACTCTATCTGGTAGCTGAAGGAGAGGTTATTATAAAATTTCCCAATACTGGACTTATTAATGCTTTGGTTGTTTTACTTGCAGCCTATTATGCCTTTAATATAAAGTATCCTAACAAAGGGAGAAATTTGTTTTCATTCATTGAAGCTACTCTTCTTGGCAACTTTGAAGATGCCAAGAAGCGTGTTTCTATTAATAGATTGCTAAAAGACATGGCTTTTTTGTGAGATGATTTAGTTTGTTTGTAGCTGCATGTTTGTGTTAAATCACAGTTGATAGAAGATATGGTTTGGAAACTTCTAAGACAAATAATTTATAAAACAGCTCAGCTCAATGTTTTCTGTTCCTCATAATGCCAAATCTGGTTCTTATTTCTCATGTGTGTAGGATATTTTTGCTAAGCAAATGGAAATGCTTTCATAGTTGTATAACTTTAATATTGACACCTATATGTAAGGTACGTTGCACCAATAATAAAATCTGACATGTCACACTGACATGTACAGATCAAATCCTGATGCCTAACAAAGAGAAAGTCTCCAAACCATATATTCGATATTGTACTGTGCAAATAATGTCAACAATCAAACATTTTGTTCTTTTATAGTTAAAAAATACTTATTGATTATATTCATCTTTTATGCATGTTGTTGAAATTTATAATGAATCATGCAAAGGTTATTTATGAACTACATGTTTTATATTTCGAAAGAAGGGCTTAAATAAAATTTGCCATCAAGTTTACCTGTAGAAATTTTATCAGTATTTGTTGAATCCACGTTTCTTGAAGTAAATCCCTCAGAGTCAGTATTTTTAAAACAATTGAGTGGCCTTTTTGTTACCATATATGAGTACTGGGGAATAAGTGTGGATTGAATTGAATGTCATTTGCCTTGTTGCTATGCAACGAATATCATTATCCAAGATGGCGTGTGTAATGTTGACATTTCAAAAGTGGACAAAGTGAAGGTATTTTAGATATTTTTAGATGTATGATTTATAACTCCAAAAGTGGAGTTACAACTCTTTAACTCCTTTTTAGGTGTTACATTTTAACTCCTATACATGATAGTTATTTTGACTCCAAAAACGGAGTTATTATTTTACTCCAAATCTAGAGTTACTTTTAACTCCAAAAAGTGAGTTATTTTGACTCCAAAAACGGAGTTATTATTTAACTCCAAATCTAGAGTTACTTTTAACTCCAAAAAATGAGTTATTCTGTACCTTTTTTCGTAACTCCTATTTTAGGAGTTAAAATAACTCCCTCAAAATAACAGTGTGGTGTTGCTGCACGGAACATATTGTGTGCACTAGGTAAATATCCAAGCCTATATTTTAAATATTTTATTACCGCAATGCATTGCTGAAATTGAAATGTGGATTTCATGTGTATAAATGGTGTGGATATTTAATGTAGTATTTATACCAAATAAGTTTTGACAGCATGCAAGCACACGTTACTACGCTGGTTCGCATACAAACGAACTTTGCGTATGCGATATTCTGTATTAATGTTTGGTTATCATCGGTAAACAACTTGATCCTTGCGCTAATTAATTTAATCGTTTGCGCGTCAAAGAGTATAAACAAAAGTGTACAATGGAATCTCTTGTGTTTAGTTTAACATAAAGTATGTATCCAGTAGCTGAAACTCAACCAAACTGAGACGGCAATTTTTGTTTACTGTCGGTTTACAGCCGTGTTAATAAAACGGATGCATGCTGTATCGCCTGTATGTCTTTGTTTATATGTCTTTAACCACTCATACATAGAGTTTGTTCGTGGAAAAATTTACAAAACCTGTAACGATGTTGCAAATGAACACGCGCTGAATATTTTGATGGGTATAGTTGCAGATGATGCATTAATTTGACATAACGATGATAATATATACTAATAACTGAAGGCTTTCTAACGATTAACCCGAATTTTGATGCAAAACGCCAATGTATATATGTATATAAAGTATAAAATAATGGGATTTAGGTAGTATAGCTAATAATTTTAGTTAAACATTCAAATGAAGGTATAGCTATTTATGTACACACATACTTGGAACAACACATGTTACTTGTTTGAAAATATTTCCTATTCTTTTAATTAGATAAATTAGTCAATAATATCTTGCGTCAATTATACGCGCAACAGGCGTTCAGACAAATTCGTTAAAACCGTTCATAAACATAAATCGTTCAAACGGCTTCAGATTGAACGTTTATTTATCCGTTCGTATTCTCGACTTTAAACGTTCACATTTTTAGCTGAATTCGTCAAAACGTTTTCTGGGTTCGTTGAAACGTTATTACAGATCGTTCACTACCCGTTCGTTATCCGTTCGTTTTGCCGTTTCAACGAAATATCGTTAACGTACGTTTTCCCGTGGAAGGTCACATATCGTATGGGCGTTATATTCGTATACATATAATAAAAAGATGTGTACGTATACGACGTATAGATTTGCAGTGTTGCAGAGGAATGTTCTAAGGGAACATTTATTCCCCAATGTTTAATCGAATATTTGTCCATATTCGGGTGTTAAGATGCCCATGCAGTCAGCAATCGGGCCATCGTGCCTAATAGGGTCATATAAGGCCATATAAGTCCCAAACGGGCCTATGAGCACATGCTCATAAATGCTCATGAGCAGATGCTCATCCGCTCAATGAGATATTTCAGGCCCAAACTCCTCAAAGGGAGGAAAAAGGGGGGTATTGCGAATGCGAAAATGTGTGCATTTTTAGAGCGAATCGAAATATATATTGGTGTTATGGACAACGCGATGCTTGAAGCATAAATTAAGACACGTATTAACGCTTGTAACAATGTAATTAAGTAGAACAATTTTACAAATATTTTAAACATATTGTCCGGACACTACACTGTTTTCTTGTTTAGATCGTTTGACTTTTTCTTCCGTAAGCAAGAGTTTGCATTGAAAAGCCCGGACTTGTCCGGGTTAGGACGCCTAGTCATGCAGCAATTGGGCCATCGGGCCTAATAGTGCCATATAAGGCCATATAGGGCCCAAACGGGCCTAATAAATACCTGACTTGAAAAAAATGAGCCAATTATTATTAGGAATTTGTTGAGCAATCATCTAAATATGCGTCGCACTCGTAGGAGCTGTCCTGTGTTTAGCTGTGGTAGTACAAATTTAGCAAGGTTAGCAAATCATCTCGACCAAGTACACGATATGGGCACAGAGGAACGCAAGAGATGGTTAAAGTGGAGTAAGAAAGGAATATGTGTACCTCGACAGAGTAAAGAACCAAAGGAATTCGATATGGAGGAGTGTCTGGAAAATTTATTAGAGCGCGATGGAGAGAAATTTATTATCAAGAAGAGATGGAGAGAAACTTTAATGTTTACCTAAGCACTGCAAACGAACAACCTCTATCTAGGGGGAAACGAAGAAAGTACATAAGGGATTGCTAACATTTTAGTTTGTGTGAATGTACTGGACTAGGAAAAAGTACCGTTGAGCAGATTAGCACATCCTCATAACTACACATGAGCAGACATCTGCTCATAAAACTGCGTTGCTGCTCGATAACAAGGCATTTACACACTGCTAGTGCTAAGGGGATGAGCTGCCAATTTTGCAGAAGATATTTCAGCCGCAGTTACAATCAGCGCAGACCCGAACGGGAGTATTGCCTACTACGAGAACAAGAAAGAAACATGTCTCAAACAGACTCGGACAGTCAAGAAAGTGATTTCCAAGATGATGTCTCGACCACTTCCACTCAGCAATCTGGAAGTTCGACGACAACGGACTCAGAATGTGAAGAAGAATTGGATCCCTGGATGCCGTTAATAGAAGAAGCATAACATAGAAGTAACACAGTATTCGAGGAAATGAAAGAAAGCCTTATAAACAGTGGTTTTGATGAGCACTATGCTAAAAAGAAAGCTTACTTCAATGCCATGCTAGACTCCAGGAAGAATTAGAAAATATCTATTTAAAGCGCCATTTGTGGATGAGACAACTGAAGAAAGATCCGGTACATAAGAAAATATGTTTATTACAAATGATGATTTTGACCAAGAAGAAGCAATAGAAGGTGCCGTTGAGAAGCTAAAGTTTCTTATTAAGAAGTTTTTAAACGATGTGAACATGTGAAGGAAAACAAAGGCAGAGATGATGATGACGACGACGATGATATGTTCTAAGTATCCTGAACCAGCTTTGGTCATACCAAAATGATCCACTCGTGTCAGGTTTTATTGTCTCCTTTACCAAGCCGTCTACCCTTAAGTACACGGTTAAAACGGAGCTGTTGAAAGAACGCGATTGTATTATCAAGAATCAAATAGGTTAAAAGGTCTTAATTTCGAGTGGTATTATACACACCTCAAATTCAGCCAGGAACAGTGGATGGAAAAATGAGTCAAATATACGTTCTCAATGGCAAGGGCATTTCACCGGCATCGCAAAAGCGTAGGTTCGATTCTTGCCATGATCTGTTCAAAAACAACACACGAGTCAGAACGCGACTGAACACGAATGAACACCAGTGGACACAAGTCAGAATACGACTCGCTTGTGAACACCAGTTAAAAAATCATCAACACGAATGAACACGAGTGAACACGGGTCAAAAAATCATGAACACGAACCAAAGATCACGAACACGAGTGAACACGAATAAAAAAATTATGAACACGAATGAACACGAGTCAAAAAATCATGAACACGAACCAAAGATCACGAACACGAGTGAACAGGAATCAAAAAATTATGAACACGAACGAAAGCTCACGAACAGAAGTGGAAATCGCATGAAAACGTGGAAATCGCAAGAAACATGCCAGCCCCATCAACTCTAGGCTGGTTTCCACGAGGGGCGTGTTTAATTATTAAGACAGTAATAAGAATACAGTATAGGTTTCACACACAGGTAACTAGGATGCATTTCAGTGTGCAACAACAATTGATTTAAACTAACGAGCGACTCAGCTGATTTTGCTTCGTTTGTGAGCCGATTCCAAAGCATAGCGCGGCTATATTTGAAACTTTTTTAAGGTATTCTCGATTCGGCCTTGGGATCCTATTTCTCTTCTCACGAAAGACTCCCGAAGAGCGGGCGCAGTATGGTTATTAAGTATCTTGTACATTAATACTGACTTAGCACCAGACCGTCTAGTTTCAAGAGGTTCATAATTTGCACTGTTAAAACCCTCGCTGCACGAAACTGAACTCTTTGCAACTAAATTGAAATCTCTGAGCAGATTGCCACAAGTATCCCACAGGGGCGAGCAGTAATCGAAGTAGGGCTGCACAAGACTTTTTCCGGGGAACAGGGAACAGTGGAATGGGAGAACCGGGAGACAGGGGAATTCCCCTCAGGATCTCACCAAATCCTTTTTTAGCAAATGTTTTATTTTAAATTGAGTGAAATATTCGCGAAACATTACCTTAATATATGACACGTTGTTTATGTAAATTGTAATGGAGAATTCTAGATTCACATGCACACGCCTTTAATTTTGGACAGTTTATTCCAATAGGTTATTTCAAGGTTTAATTTTTCCTATAATACTTTATACAATTACTCGATGAGGCTAGCATAATACGTAACAATTATTGAATGGAGTTGAACACAATATGAAAATATTATCAGCCGGTGAGCTAGTGTACTTCAAGTGACAAGGTATTATTATCTACCAACTAATTTGGTCATGGTAAGGGTCATGCAAGAATGTCAATCATCAGTAATCAAGATGACAATCCAAAACTAATATTTAACTGCATGCGTAACTGTTTTAAGGCATCTGACTAGAAAAAAGCAGAAACAAGAGCACTTACATAACAAAAATGACCCGCTTTTCTAGATGTCCAAAAGAAAACTAATTTATCGGGAAACGACGAAAAG